TGGCAGCCAGGTTATAAATAAATAGCTTATCTGTCCCCTTATCTGGATTTGTAGACTATAAGATAACTTTCAATTTTCGGACTGACTGTAATAAAGTTTCTACTATGACATTATATTAATAAAAAAAAAAAAAAAAAAAAAACTTTGTCATGGATAGACGATCACCATTATTCTCAATCTATAATATAGATTATATAAATACTGAAATAACTTAGTTTATTGGATCATATATAACTTATTATAAGTAGTGCTTTGTATAAAATTAAAACTTGTAGCAGATCAAAACTCTAAATATAACAGTTAATGTAATTTTTACTAGACAACTAAGTGATTCTGATGTTTATACTACAAATAATGATACCTTTCATCTCCAGAATAATTCTGACCTTAATTCTGTATTTTCAATGATTGATAGAAATTATGAATTTATTATTAAAAAATGAGAGCAAGTGACCATTTTAAATTAATTAATAACAATATCTTTATAACATATAGGCTAATTTATGGAATTGCCAATAACTTTTAATCTACTAATCTATTTTTGAATAATTTTGCTACCAAAATATTCATCTTAATAAGATGAATTCAAAATTGTTAAAATCCAATTACAGGATCCCAAGATAATTAAAATTTTGTATAATTTTACTATTAAATTTTAAACTTATATATACCATATTCCTCTGAAAATAAGCCCTGAAAGTAAGCACCTCTACAATTCATATATACCTGAAAATAAGCACATCTTATATAATAGAAATAAGTAACTAAATATCAAAACATTCAAATTATTAGTTGAGATTATACCTGAAAATAAGCAACTGTATAGCAAAAAAGGGTGCTTATTTTCAGAGAAATACAGTAAATACATGTAATATTTAAATAACTTTTGATTTATTGATTTATTGATCTGATTTAACTACCAAAATGTTTGTCTTAATAAGACAATTCCAACAAGCTTAAAATTATTAAAATCCAATTACAGGGTCTCAAGATCAGTAATGATCAGTATAAACTTAATAAAATTGGTTTTATATATAAAAGCCAATTGTATTAAGTGATTGTTAATATAATACTGATCTTTAGTAATCTTGAGATCCTGTGATTGCATTTTAACAATTTTATACTCGTTAGAATCGTCTCATTGAGACGAATATTTTAGTAGTTAAATTATCTAATAGACCAATAGATCAAAGTTATTTAAATATTAGATGTATTTATATAGTAAAATCATACAAAATCTTAATTATTTTGGGATTCTGTAATTGAATTTTAACAATTTTGAGTTCATTGGAATTATCTCATCAAGATGAACATTTTGGAAGTAAAATTATTTAAAATGGATTAGTAGATCAAAAGTTATTAGCAATTCCATAAATCAGCTCATGCGAATATAAGTCTTTAAACCCGTAACTCGTCAAATTTCCAAAGCATCATTATTTTATTATGCGCGAAATATTAACAGTTTAGATATATTATGTTCATCGAATTATAGTGAATATGGAAATGTATGCGCAATTATTAAATAAATTTTTTGTTATCAGGTTCTGTGATCGAGTTTCAACATATAAATAATACTACTATTAATAGTACAAACATTTTATCGTTTGATATTAAATCTTCATTTTATGGTGGATCGATGGTAACTAGTTGAGCATCTAACCCTATTTACTATGACTATTACATACCGAACTCCAATTTCAATTATACTAATATAACTGGAAGAGTTTTTGTGCTTAATGGTACTGAAATAACATGGAACTTGACTCAATTGAATCAATTTAATTCGAACAAATCATTCTTTCAGAGCGCAATGTTTAATTTAATGAAAAATAATACATATATATTGTACGTAAATTATTCTTTTAATGTATGGGACATATTCCGTCTAGATGTGTCTAAATCCATGAAAGACAGTAAGTGCATAATGATCAATTAATTTGTTTCAAATTTCAGTGTTAAATATATTAGATAATTATAAAATCAGAATATTAATTCAACATATCCATGGTCAAAGAAAATGTCTTACGAAGCATCAATGTTATTAACATAACTTTTCAAACAACATTTCTAAATCTTTAAGCACCTCAAATAAGATTACTATCTACTCCCTTAATTAAGCAACAATAAATTAATATTCAGAAAATCTTATTCGGATTGTAATATTACACTATATAATCTTTCATGTAGTGTCAATTCAGTTATTTTTAATCAATGGAATGCTACATATGTAATTACGACGGATAATAATTTTGTTATGTTTTCCACGACAAATGAGCCTATGTATGATATTGAAGAATATCAATGGAATTTTAAATAAATTTCATGTGACAAACGTAAGCAAGATTATTTCTATCTTACATGTACGTAAGTAATAAATTTTACAATTGACTAAAGTATCTTGACATATTGTAGAAAATAATCAAGAATTATATTCAGGTAAAAAAATTAGTATATTATATTATTTAATATAGTACAGAATTAAGTTGTTTTTTTAAAATAAAAAATATAATTAGCCGTATTATTTACACAAGATACAGCTATAGGTACTATATGATTAACTCTTAAAGATGATATAAAAAATAGTCATTATCTGATATTCTTGACAATGTGACAAGAGAACTTGCTGAAAGTGTTTCTATAAATCTTCCGGAGAGACTACAACATACGAATAGATTTCAATATGACTTGTCAATACCTCAATATATAATACAATCAAAAGTTTTGCCAACTAAAGATTCCGGTCAAGCTAGCGTTTCTCAAATCATTAATTATTAATTACAGATGAAAACACAATGATATATCAAAATATTTATATAAAATATTTGGACTCAACGTATGAATTTAAAATGAATTGTGAGTTATTTTAAATTTATAATTTATCAAAAAAAAAAAGAAAAACTAAAGATTTTGTAAATTTTTTGGGATGAAATTAAATTCATAATCCCTTCGCACTAAGTGTCACTCATATCAACTTGGTCGGCTCCACATATTGCGCGGATGCGTTAAAGAAGCTAATTATTTTTTTAAAGAAGCTTTAAATCTAATTGAAACTACAAAATCAAATTCCGTTATGACTACCTTCATTATTATTTTTTACACGTGATTAACTATATAAGTTGCTGCATGACATTGTCGCGCTAACCAGGAATGGATGAATATAAGCTTAATTTAGAAATAAATATCGGGTATACAACTAAATACAGTATAACTATATTGATATGAGACATTATAATTTAAAGAAACAAGAAATGTCATAAGATCTTTAGATGTAAATAGTATAGAGTGTAAAAATACCTCTTTAAAAAGCATACTAATCCACTAATGCTAATCCTAATAATACATAACGCTGGAGTAGATATTAAAAATAGGGGTATTACGCACCCCATACCATACATAATACTAATCTGCATAATTAGAAATGTTCTTGGCAGATGATAATTATACAGACTAATGTGGATAAGAAGTTATACTGTATGAGAGGTAAACAGCTCATTAAACCAATAAATGTCGCGGATCATAATGGTATTGGATTAAAATGAAATAAGAGTTTCAATTTAACCCTCCAAAACACATTTACCGTAATAGCGCGTAATAACGCGCATGCATGTTATTTCGAAACATGCCGTTTTTTGAAAATTGCATTTTTGACTCGAAATAATGCACCCCCTTATATAAGTAGATCATATACAAAATTGGCCGACACCAAATTTGTCAAAATAATTCTAAATACTGCATATGCGTGTCCCGAAATAATGCGTGGGGCCTCGAAATAACACGCATCTGCGCGCTATTACGCGCCATTACGGTATATTTGTTTATTATAACTTTACCCTAAAACTAACCTCTAAACCTAACCCCTAACCCTAAAAATGCACCTTGGAAATTTTTATTTTTCGGTGGCTTGTCTATTTTTTACATTGTACAATATTTTATTTTAATCCGATTTTATTTTAATCTGTCACAATAAATAATTGCTAAACTTAGGAACTATAAAGGTGCTCTCAATGTGATTATCTAATTACTGAGATCATGCATAAAGTATTATGATTAATTAAAGTGATCCTTGCTGTAATTTTGCTAAAGATTTATATCACAAAGTGATGATAATAAAATTTAGCCAATCAGAACAAGCCTATAACAAAAAAGGCGGCTTCAGCTTTTATTTTCATTGATAATAAACTACTTACTAGTTAAACTACTTTCTACAAATTAGAAATTATGGTTTGACCTATTAATTATGTACTTGAGAGAATTTTAAATCAATACGAATAAAATTTAAATAAGAAATTAATTAATATATTGGTTGATAATGTTCAATTGATTAAATAAGAAAAAATATATATGAAAACCTGACATTATATGACGAAGAATTTAAAAATTATAAATATTTTGTCTTTAAAAAAGTTATCCATAAGCGCACCTTATATATTAAGGTAAATTCAAAAAAAAAGTGATAAGCATTCAAAACAGTTTTTTTTGTTATATACTGTATTTTGAAATAAATTATTATTCAACAAGGCTGATAAAAATCAACCTGTTTGAGGATATTCTAATATAACTAATTATTATTAGAAAAAGAAAAAGAATTGGTCGCAATATTAACTATAAGGTTACCGGGCATTATTGGGCCTATATGGGCCTTTTTATCAGACCCAAACCCGGCCCGACCCGCAAATTTCCGGGTTTCGTCCGGTCCTAGTCATGGCTAGAGCACGACTTGAGCCTTGGCTCAAGCTGTGGTAGACTATTCTGTACCGACACAGTATTGCAGTATCATTGTATTAAATATTATTACGTAGCTACAGTAACTAGTGATTGGCACCGTAATCATGTGATGCTAATTGTCACATGATAGAATATATAAAAATCAACAATTAGATTGTTGTTTTATATATTTTACCACGTGACAATTAGCATCACATGATTACGGCTCCAATCACTAACAGTAACAATGATTTTAAAGCAATATAGTATTTAAAGAAGCCATACAAGCATTATCCGATCTAAAAATCTTTAATAAACTGAAATTGGTCTATAAAATTATTCAACATATAATGTCAGGTCTTCACATAATATTTTTTCTTATTTAATCAATTGAACATTATCAATCAATATATTAATCAATTTCTCGTTTAAATTTTATTCGTAATGATTTAAGCACATAATTAGGGATGGGTTTGGTCAGCTAGTAGTCGGCTAGCCGATCGGCTATAGCCGTAGTCGATGTAGTCGACTATAGCGGCTTAGCTGACCGGCTAGCCGATCCCAAATTTTTATTTCCTGGCTGATAATCATTGTTTAATTCAGCATAAAATGTACAAATTATATTGAATTATTGCAAGAAATACCCTAGCTGTCACGTCGCATCAGATTCTCAATTTTGATTGGCTAAGAGCAACGATCAAAAATCTAGGCTGAAATTACTCAAAATCTTACTATTGAAATCACAGCTATCCATTAAGTAAAAATGTTCCTGGACTAATTTTACCATAGTATAGGCTTATTTCTCTAAAAATTTATATTTTTGTAATAAAAAATCAAAAACTAATTCCGGCCAAAAATTCGTAATAATTGTATAATGCGGGCCAAAATTTTATAGACTAAGGTAGTTAGCTAATTAAAATTGAGAACCTGCCGTGGTAAAGTTGGTGCGACAGCTAAGGTATTTTTATTATAAGATAGTGAAAGACAGGAATGCTTTATCTAACAATCGAGCAATCCTTTTGATAATTATAAATATCACGGTTTGCAAAATGTGCCCAATTTCAATAATTTTTATTTTTACTTTATTTTTATAAACTTACAGAATTAAATAAAAAAAATTTGAATCAATGGTTGTTGAGAAATCTTCGTTTAATTAAAAAAAGAAATTTACTGATTTTTTTGTAAAATTCATATTTCTTAACAACCATCTATAAAATTTTTTTATTTTAATTCTACTAAAGTTTAGAATTAAATAAAAAAAATTTACTGTGTTTAATCAAGTAGTTACAGAGAACTCTTCAAAATTTTATATGGACTGATTTACATTTTCAAATTCTGGTTAAATTTGGCCTATTGTGGATGAGCTTTAAACTCATCTCCAATAGGCCAAATGATCTACAAATTTGACCAGAATTAGAAATGTTGATCGGGTCTTCAATATTTTGATTATTTTGATTGGCTGTTTACAGCATATGACCCGAACTTTTTTTTCGCCATGGCTAGGGTACTCTAATATGTATAACTGTATAACATATAAAAATATATTATTTAGCACTTATTTATATGTTTGATTGAAAAATTGATTAAGAAATTGGTCAAGTAATTTATCGGCTATAGCCGGCTACTAGTCGATAGTCGATGATAGCTAACCGATAGCTGACCTAGCTGACCGAACCCATCCCTACACATAATTAATAGGTCGAAACATAATTTCTAATTTGTAGAAAGTAGTTTAACCGGTAAGTAGTTATTATCTCGATGAAAATAAAAGCTGAAACCGCCTTTTTTTTGTTATAGACTTGTTCTGATTGGCTAAAATTTATTATCAGCACTTTATGATATGAATCTTTAGCAAAATTACAGCAAAGATCGTTTTAATTAATCGTAGTACTTTATACACGATCTCGGTAACTAGATAATCGCATTGAGAGTACCTTTAGTCTCTAAGTTTAGCGATTATTTATTGGTTTAATGAGCTGTTTACCTCTCATACAGTATAGCTTCTTATCCACATTAGTCTGTATAATTATCATCTAACAAGGACATTTCTAATTATGCAGATTTCTGTACGTACGTATGATATTTATTTATCTGAAGCTATATATAACTATTCTGTGTTGGAGTTGTTCAACATTTTCTAAATATTCATCCGTTCCTGGTTTAGTGCAACAATGTCATACAGCTACTTATGAGTATATACTTGCCACCCAAATATTGAGGAATTTCAGGCATTAATTTATAAATTTCAAGAACATTGGATTTTTTTAAGATATTATGTAATCTTTACATAATAGACACTTGGTAAAGTTTAGTGTTATTTGATTACCAGTTTTATAGACCAATTTCAGCATATTAAAGATTTTTAGATCTGTTAATGTTGTATGACTTCTTTAAATACTATATTGCTTTAAAATATTGTTACTGTAGCTACGTAATAATATTTAATACAATGCTACTGCAGTACTATATCAGTACAGAATTATCTACCATAGCTTGAGCCAAGGATCAAGCCATGCTCTAGTCATGACACAAGTTGTGGTTTCAAAACTAAGAAGCTATGACTTTAAAAAGCCCGGCTTCGGATAAGCCATTAACAGCTTTGAAGACAGTTGACAACAAATCCATATTTGGTTAGTTCAATTACTAACGCTAAGGACAATAATAAAAAAAAGCACAGTTTTATAAATGATCTCATTCACTTTAATTGAGACAAAAACCTGTTAAAGCAATAAAAAATACAATTGAACGTTCGTTATGGTTAACGTTAAACAAATCCCATACTAAATATATATATATATAGTGTTATGTGATTCAATATCGCGAAGTTTACGTTTCATTGCATTTAATGCATTGTCCAATCAATTATGAGATTTGGCGGATATACATCACTAAAAATGCCATTATATATCACTCCGTTCCTGGTATTTATAATAATCATATTGTGACCGGGAATCTTCCCATGAAAGAATTCCCGGTCTCATATTGATCATCGGGAAACTTTAATTTTTTACGCTTAATTTTTATTTGAAGAATTTTCTTTTTTGTATGTTTCACGTTTATATAAAGAACTTTAAAAGCCAAAGTAAATAATCACAGTAAAATAAAGCTAAAAAAGACACGATAAGAGCAAAGCGAAAGTAAGAGCTTGAAAAAGTTAAACATAGAAGTAAAAAGCAAAGGCGATAAAAAAAACAAAACAGTAAAAAAATTAGGTAAATAAAAAAAATAAAGTAAAGCCCAAAAGTCAGTATGGTAGTCCGATTAACATCTAGTGACACGTTTCTGGGGATTATTCATTTATTCCCCCAGGAAATAAATAATCAAATTACTCGGATTATTGATTGGACTCATAATTTTGTCTTATTGTTTTATAGGCCCGTCATAATTATCTTGAGGTAATAATACTGTAATATTTTCAATCTGGCATAGATATAAGAGTTTTCATTATTTTATCTTGCAATATAAAATTCCAATAATTTAAATTTAATGAACGTATTGTATATATATGTTGTGCGTGAAATTAGAATGTGCGTCAATTTAAAACTGAGTTGCGTCAGATTGAAATTTAATTTTGAGATGCGTAAGATTCAAATTTCTGATTTGCGTCAAATTAAAATTATAAATTACATATAAAGCAGAAAATAGCAAGTTTACATACAAAGTAGAAAATAGCAAATAATTAATTTAATACATATATTAAAGTTGAGTCTTGTTATCACACATTTTTCCACTGTGGCATTTGCTTCCACATCTAACGCCAGCTTTTTTGCAATGGCATTTATTGGTATTACAACTACCTTTACACTTGCACATTGTTCCCGTAAGTGTTCCAGTATTCTGGTTATGTCCTGCTTCTCTAACAAATATTTTATCTGTTGGGATGTTTTCTAATTCTGGAAATTCGTTCACACCTAATGGCTCCATTTCTCCTGCACAATATAAATTATTCAATATGCCATTTTGGCATCCAAGACGGTATTTAAATGTATTATTATGATCTAACTTATTTAAAATTTTGCATGGAACAATAAGTCGATCTGTACCAAATCTATCTATTTTGGAAACTGAAATTTTTACATATTCCCCAATTTCATATTCTAATTTACGCTTCGATTTGGCAACCATTGCAGATGTCATCTTTGTTGTATAAATCTCTAAATTCTCACAAGCGAAATTTCTTAAAACTTGATGCCCTGTTAATAGCTGATTTGTTAAATCTTGTAATGCCTAACACAATTTAATTAATATAATTAATATAATACGTATATGTATTAAATAAATATGCATATTAATAAAATTATTAATATAAACTTACTGTATCTTGGCTTTTACGATTATCATTAACTAAGTTGCTTTGCATTTCTATGTTTAAAACTTGATTTGAACTTGAAGATTCAGTTGCCAAACTGGAATCATCGATTAAATCATCTAAATCATTAACTGATTCTTGAATATTTCCTAATCCAAATTCATTTGAAATTTCATCTTCAGAAAAAATATTAGTCTCAAACAAATGGTCAAGTGCAGCAGAATAACCATGTGGAGTTCCACCAAATACAAGCTCATAAGGTTTCTTATTATGTACTCTACAAATTGAGTTATTCATAGCATAAATTGCAAATCTTAATCCAAATGACCAATCTTGACGATTATTATCTTCCATCCACTTTTCTAACTTTATCTCTAGAATTTCATTTGCCCGTTTAACTAAATCTTGACTAGCAGGATGCCTTGGTCTCCCATTAATAATCTGAATTGTAGACCATAAATAAACTAATTCAACAATTACTGAAGCAACAAACTCCTTTCCATTATCTGATTGAAGAATTAGAGGTGGTCCAAATGTAGTAAAAATTTCAAATAAAAAGGCCGCTACCTCTACTGCTCGCTTGAAGGTAAGTGCACGGGCCCAGGAGTACCTTGTAAAATGATCACGTAAATGAGCAATATATTTAAATTCATTATCATGTTTGAAAGTCATATCAACTGTTTAAAATAAAAAATTATTACAATAATATAATAATAAATACAAAATTACAAAACATAATATTAATGAGTTACTTGTAAACGTGACATAAATTTTTACTCAATAATTGGTATCCCAGCTAATGGTTGAATCCGAGTACACAAACAGTATATTGGGTTACAAATTTTTCTACAAGATCTTGCCGACAATATTCCCATTTGCTACTGATTTGGTTCCATGTTTCCTTTTGGCCACTGTGCTGAGTAATTGTTCCATGTATCTTGCAAAATTCATCATACATGTTTTCTACAGCTAACACAGGAAGCTCAATTTTAACCTTTTCATTATTTTTTTTATTTTGTATTTGAATGTGAAGTACAATATAGGAATTAGCAATTTTTTGTAATTTAAAATTTTTTTTAACCCAATAACAAAAAGCAGCTGTATATTGAGTAGTATCCATAAAGAAGAACTTTTTTAATTCTTAATAGTTTTTCTTGATTGATTAATGCCTTTTTTTTTTTTACTTGGTGCCAAATTTTCAATATACCTGCTAACCAAGTCATCAAAGTTTGCTGTGACATAAATGAATATTCCATGCTCTTTGGTTTGACATAAAATACACAACAGTATATTAATATAAAGAGTGAAAAAGATCTATTAACTAGTTCAACAAAAAAAATTTTATTATTTTATGTATTTATTTTATCATTATTACTACATTTATTATGCACATTTCAATCAGACGCATAAATCATAAACTGGTCTGACACATCTCAAATTCAAATTTTGATCTTACACAACTCGATTTTAAATTCACGCCTCTTCGAATCTAATACATAACATATATATAGGGACAAAGCTTTATGATATTTAGTGCAGTAATTACTTTGTTTAATTTAGTTATTGATATTTTGTTTATTGCAAAAAATGGTAAAGCTGTTTCGCAACTAGATCTTTATAATTCCAGATTAGTTTTAATTTATATGTAATAGCACAGTCTTGATTCAAACACAACCAAGCATATGAATATTGGCAAATAAATCTTGGAAATTTTTATCATTAAGATCTCTAGATTTTATTTGGCAATACTCATAATATTATAATAATTTCGTTTCTAACCCAGCAATAAATTTATACTAATGTGTTATATAGCATAATAATTTTAAGTTGTTTTGAAGAATCATTATGTTATAACAAGAGTAGAATGTATATCGAGACTAGAGTATAGTGTGATGAATATTGAAAACAAAAAAATACTAATTATAATTGTTTAACCTTTTTATTTTTATATTTACTGTATAAAAAGCATTATGATATTAGCTTTTTCAATAGCACTTAATTTGTTTTCTACCATTATATTTATAATTTATGAGTTAAGAACAAACAAACCATTCATTCAATGGTTTATTAAATATAAAGATTATTTCAATTTTTACTGTGTATTTGGAGCAAATGTAGCTTTATTGGAATTTAACTTCAAGTTTTGCTAGGTTTTCAATGTTCATTGTTCCATTTCTGATTCTGTTAAACGTTGGATATATTGGATGACTACAATTGATACTTTTATTAAAGATATCCCACAGCTAGTTATACAGGTCTGTTAATATTACATCCATGTAATAAATATTATTAATTGAAGTCTTTTAGGTTTAATTTAAATTCTTATTTATTTTTATATTTTATATTTCCGATACATTATCAAATATACAACTATTCCAATTTTAACTTTATTAACTAGTTCTATTGCTTATGATATTATATTGAAAATATATAATAATTTTAATTATATGTGTATATTAAGATTTTGTTTAGAAATTACATTTATTTATTTTTTTATAAATAAAGAGTTATTTATATTATGCAAAAATTTTGTGCTTATTATATTTATATATACATTGTTTTGCATAACTATATGGCATTACAAGTTACTCTCGTTATAGTGAACTCTCATTATAGTAAAGATTGGCTTATAGTGAAGATTTTTTTAAGAACAAAACCAAAATTATTAATGTTTCACTCAATATAATGAAGTTTTAATAATAAACTCTCGATATAAGATATAGTGAAGATTTTTTTAAAAAAATATAGTACATTTATAATAAATTTACTCTCGATATAGTGAAGATTTATATATAAAATATTTTTTAACCAATTATATCAATTTAAACATTCTTTCAATTTAGTGAAGATTTTTGAGTTTATACATAAACTTCATTATATTAAAATTTTTAATATAAAAATCTCTCGATATAATGAAGATTTTTTATTTTAAATATAAACTTTACTATATTAAGAGTTTTTGATATAGTGAATATCTCGATATAGTAAAGAAAATTCTTCAGCCCAGCAACTTCACTATAATGAGAGTGACTTGTATATGTATTTGTACATTAATACCCCGATCACTATATCAAGATCACGGGGTATTAATTAATAATACCCTGACCGTATGTGAATCAGCGGAAACGAAGTTTCTGCTAATCCCCAACGGATCAGGGTATTATTATTACTAATGTGCCTGACAAAATTATTTTTGCAATGATGAAGGTTTTGTTGCACCATTTGTCTGATAAGTCCTTGTTGATTACCAGAACTCTTGGCAATTGACATAATACCTGATAAATAAATTAGACCAAAAAATACCCAAACTTTATATAATAGATTATGAACTTAGGGTGCTGACATTCATTACGTAGTTTTTTTAGGGGTGGGTTGAATCAATATCTTACATTACATGTAGATATATAGTATAATTAGATACTATTTGAATTGACCAATCATATTGGATCTTATGTGGGAGGAGAGGGGAGCCCTTATAGTAAATGGATATTACGTAATATATGTCACAGCCCTTACCAAATTACTATCTGTTATAAAAAGTTTATTGCCATATACTGCTACTTACAGTACCTGGATCTTATTCAAGAATTCTATTTTTAAATTGAATCATAACGTGTGAAGAACTGGGTGCTATATATCATATTAAAAGTAGTAAATCAATAAAGTTATATCCCTGGATCTTATTCAAAAAAAGGTTGGTAGTCATGGAGGAGATTATTTTGAGAGATACTGTAAGCAGTGGCATATGTTGTTGTAGGTGCATTCGAAATTTTGTGAATTCGAAGTCTATTTAATTGGATTTCGAACCTAGAAATATCTCAAGTCGATTTTTCAGATCTTAAAATAGCATTTAAATATTAATAATTATAAATCATACATGCTTAAAATAATTGTACTGTGTTTTGCAAAAGTTTCAAAATTAAAATTTTAACACAAAAATATTCTTTTATTGCAGGACAGGTTTTTAATTAATTAATTAGTTAACAAATTTCTTGAAAAAAAAAAGCTATTTGCTAGACGTATAAAACCTTTATTTCACAATTCAATATGATCTTATTATTATACTTTATGACATATAATACAAATTTGAGAATTTCAAAAGATCAATAATATATTTAAGATTTCTCTCAGCTAGGGAATTGGGAATTTAAACAAATCCAAATACTCGAAAATTATTACGGTTGTTAAAAATGAAAATGACACCATATGCCCTTTTAACATGTAGTCTGTTTCTATATTAACTGACACAAATGTAATTATAAGGCGTGAAAATAATTCTTGTGAATGTAGACTTCTAATTTGGCGTGTGGAAACGGATGTTATTCGCATAGTATTAAATCAAAAATAGAGATAATATAGAAAAAATAGGCAATATAATGATAATACAATGATTTTAGCTATAAAATTACTATTATAAAAATTTATATTGGTTTAAATTTTTAAAATTCTATGATATTTCCATTTAAGTTGTTTTGAGATTCAATTATGCCAGTTTGCAGAAAGGCGTGACGCCATGATTTTCATGTTGATGATGTCAGAGAATCTTTGAGGTTCGGAATAGTGTTGGAAATCTGTTTTGAGATTTATGTTCTCATGAGAACAAATTTACTTAATTTAATGTTCTCAGAAATTTATTTATGTTCTCAACAGTAAAATTTATTTATATCCCCATTTCTTATTTCGGAAAATATCAGACATTTATTCAAATTTTATCCTAACCCTTCTCGTCTTTTATGTTTATTCATTTTCTTTTTGGATGATTTCAGAATTTCTAATTTTATTCCCATCTGGCATTATGCAATTATACGGGGATGGCTAAGCCATGTACCCATGTGATTTTTCGAAGTTTTAATTAAAATCAGAATTAGAGATAGTTTATCGTTAGGTGGGGGTTAGGGAAAGGGTAGATTTCATCACAAGGTCATTTTTTTATAAAATCTATATGGCTCTATAAAGTTATATAAATGTTATATAAAATTTTTATTTAGATTTATAAACCCAATGTAGACTTACATAGTTGGAATTTTTATGTATGACTTAATATAATATTTATATAAATTTTATGTATTATTTATATAAATATAAAAATTATATAAATTCTATTTATATCTACATAAAAATGAATTAATTTACTTTGGCTATTTCTCAAAAATGACTAAGGTAATCAGTGTTCGGTATGCTAAGTAAAAATGTTCAGCAGGCCAGAAAACGCTCCCCAAACCCCTAGTTTAAGCTTTAATATTTAGGTTGAAATTTTTTTGAAATTTTACATAATTCTACATAGATATATATATAGATTTATATAATTAGTATGTAAAATCTACATTGGGTTCATAAAGCTACATAAAAATTTTACATAACTCTACATAAAAATTCTACGTAACTCTACATAAAAATGACCTTGTGATGTTATAGCACCCGGCATTTTTTGTTAATGCTTCAAGACAGGTTTAGACGTCGTTTTCTTCGGGCTGATTCGTGTAAACAAAATTTCGCGATCCTGGTTGGTTGATTTCCACAAAAAAGTCACGTGGGTACATGGCTTTAGACGACCTCATTATACTTATATTATACTTATATAGAGAACATGTTTTTGAGTATTATGTTCTCAATTTTTTTTTCATAGAGAACATTTACAGAATATCAAATGTTTTCAAATCTAAAGGTATGTTCTCATGAGAAAATGAGAACATAAGATTTTCCAACATTGATTTGGAATCTCAAGTAGATTATAGTTTTCAATTAGTAACGTCTATATTTATTGAAATCTTTAAAATTCTCGGAGGATCAAAAATCTGTCACGTAGAATCTGCTGATTTCCCTTGATTTCACATGTAGAGTGAAGGGCACAATAAATTTTTTGGGCATGCTTGGACTAGAGACATGCCCTTTCATGTCTGACCATGCCTAAATATATACATGCCAATATTATTTTTGTAGAAACAGTTAGTATTATAATATTAACCAATCAGAAGGTATCTTCACTTAATAAATGTTTTTTAAATATCAGATAAAAGGGCATGCTTTTTAGCTTAAAGGCATGCCCAAAAACCTTGTGCCACTCACCCTAGACACATGACATTATGACCTGCAGAAGCCACACCTTTCTGCAAACCCATCCGTGGAATTCCGAATCCACCTAACCAGTGTTCGAACATTTTCTATAACGTATTCCATTTTGGTACTATCTTTGCTTCTTTCTTGATCGAAAACTTTAAAGGCTATAGTTCTGATGATAGCTCTTTTTTTTTTTTTGCGTTTCGCGTATGCCTTTTTAACAAAAATTTTTTCAGTTCTTTCAAATGACTATCTTAGCTTAACTTTCTAATTTTATTATTGTATTATCATATTAAAGGATATTAATAAAATTTTAATATCATTTTGTGGATATTTTTCTTCGATTGCTTTATTAGCATAATGATAACAAAGGTTAATGAAACGAGCATTGGATTCATAACATTAGTTCTAAAAATTAATAAATCCTATGTTTCTTTGCCCCTAATACTAAAAAGTTTTTGTAACTGTTAAAGATAATAAGGATAAATTTATTTTTTTATTTGCTCATTATCGAAATGACTAGAATTCCTACTGTGCATAATATGTTATTACTTTTTTAAGGAAATAATTTAAATCCTCGCTTCCGGGTTTTAATTTACAGTACCCAAGTGTATATAATTTACAATTTTGGCAAGACTCGTATAAGCATAATATTTTCTTAAAAACATATTAATGAAGATTATCATACCATTCCTAGAATATTTATAAATCTAATAGTACGTATCAACAAATATTTATAGAATCGACATGTATCAGCCAGATCATGGGTTTAAACGTTAATTTGAGCACTTTGAACTGTTGTAAAAGCGGAATCACGAAATATGAGTATCACGGATATCAACTAACACTATCACTGTCTGAAACAACACACCAAACCACTATCTAATAATAGTGGAAGGCTACAAAAGAGGCGTGGAAAGACTTGGTCCGAGTAATTAGGGTAGGTTAGGGATCTAGATTACGTCACGAGACTACTTAGGCTAAACTACTTATTCTGTATACGAATTTGATTTATCTGGGAATAAGTAGGGATGGGGCCGATTAAGGTAAAATAAAATTTTTCTTTTTAGCAAAAAATTTGCAATAATGATAATATTGTATTATTATGTTGAATAAAACTACAAGCGCATCATGAAATTGAGAATTGAAGCATTATTTTTAATGATTAAAAATTCTTGATTTTTAAATTGTTTATTTAAACTTGTTAGACTTGCATAGGTTCATAAGTTCTACAAAATACAACTCACTCTCGTTATAGTGAACTCTCATTATAGTAAACTCTAGTTATAGTGAACTCTCGCTATAGTGAAGGTTCGATATAATGAAGAATTTTTTGCATTCTAGAATTATTAAATTTCAATTTGATATAGTAAAGTACATAGTATTCTCTCAATATAAGCTATAGTGAAGATTTTTCTCAGCCCGGGGGACTTCACTATAACAAAAATAAGCTATACCTATCTGCTTGCCTTCCGTATTTTCCTAAATTAGCAAACCATTATAAGTTACATCTTGTACTGTTTGGTTCGGGATAGCAACGCATAATAAATGCGTAACGTAGCTCCAACCAATACTTGAAATTTTGAATGGTACAAAGTTTTTAATGGGTATAATAATTCTGTAATAACGAGCTAATAATGGTGTGGACTTAATGAAAGATCACTATGACTATACTACTTTATGATAAAACCGAGATCCTTCTTAAAATATGTGCTTCGCGCTAAACATTTTGATTAATATGAAAGGGCCTACTTCTGGAACCTACTATATTTATCAGAGGCATTATCATGCTAGCCTTGTATCAATATCAATATTGTATACTGTGGACTTTAACAATCACGTATTAATTCTACACCAAAATACGTGTGTGGCTTATCTGTGATTTTATTGGCTGAAATTTCTTTTTGTAAAATAGTCGGCGCACTATATTAGTGTCAGCCCGGCCCAAAGGTTTTGTTATCGGCCCATAGCACTAACTAGGACAAGCACTTTCCTCAACTAACTGTGTTTGAACTCTAAGTGAGTTATCTTTATTGGAGCGAAAAGGTATCACTTTTAAAGTTTTTACATTTTCTTTTACAGTACAATACCGGTTATAATATTGAATTAGTTCAATCAATTGAATTAAAGTTATTGAATTATGATAATTCAATTAATTGGATAAATGCAATTAATTGATTAATTGGATAATTTATAGTAAATACATTAATTGGATAAATGTAATTAACTCACGAAGGGATCATAAATAAGACGATTTTCTAGTTGCTATTTTTGGGACTTCACTAACTATATCTATAGAAACAGTAATAATATGAAGAATAACAGAAAAAAATAAAAATAAAAATAAAAATCTAGGACGGGGTAACGGGAGCCTTTCACACTGTGCCTAGCTATCAGGTGGACATTTTTACTTGCTAAGTATATAGTAATTATTACATAATTTAAATATGTATTAAAATTTTAATATCATATACAGTTGATACTGTCTAATTGCATATACAGTACTTTCTAAATGCATAAAAAATTTGACTTTTAATTATTAACGCAAAAATGGTTCTTATGATTTAAATGCATAGATTGTCTATATGCATAAAAAAAGTCTCAGACGGATAGCATGTAATTAAACGGTACCGACTGTAATAATAAATATATTATTTAAGAATGATAATTCTATTTAATTAGAATTGTTAAGCCACTTTTAATAACATGCATATATATATTGCAAAATCTATAGAGTGATTTACTAAAGAAAGAAAAGATGTGTGCACCAAATCTAATGGCTTCTTAAAGTCATTAATTTCCAACCCGACCGACCAGAACTTCTTTATGATTTGTGCAGAGCTGTGCTACGCTGATTTTCGAAACACTGCTCGAATGTATATAGAAAATTCTAAAAAAGTAAACTATTCGAAAATAACCGTAGTACAAAATGCAAATGATTTAAATAAATTACAAGTTTGCAGATGGAATACATATCCACGTGGTCAATATTACGTACGTTCGTACAGTTATTCGCAACAAATGCGTATATATGTATATTGGTTGTTGTTTATTAATGGTTTAATTAAAAAAAAAGGTTGTGCATATGCAAGTCATTTAAAAAAAATTAATAATTTAAAAATACTGTAAACTATTTTTTTTTTCTTTCTAATTTTATATTATACAGTATATTAATAACAGATAATCCAATGAGAAATGGTTGGAATTTTTTTAATTCATTTTGAACGGGGTTGGCAAGATTATTGACTAATTTGTGGATTTATTAGATTTACACATTCTTCGTTGAAGCTGCTTGCTGGATCACAACCTTCTCCATAATAATCTTCTGAATCTCCTACATATTCGTAAGTAATAATCTTTAGAAGTAGATTCTTTTTTATACTTTTAAAGCTTAAATTTGATAACCTACCACAAAATTTAAATGGACTACAACAAGGATAATCGGCAGTATATGTAACACCACCACAAGTGTTATTGACTGGAGCACTTATTATTGAAACTATGTGTTGGATCGCAGCCAGTTCCGCAGTAATCAGGTGTACCTACAAATAATTTAATAATTTAGATCAATTACGTATATACAGTAATAAAATTTATTATACGATAAGAAAGTTAATATTCACTTCCGCAGAAACCACTAGCGCTACAACATGGTAATGTTTGAGTGCAATTATAACCTCCCTATTAAAGAAAGTTTATGAGATAATGAAAGAATGTTGAAAATGCGATTTAGGAATTAAAAAAAAAGTAATGTACAAATTTTGGACATCCCGATGGTGGTGGAAGGGGTCCAGTAGAATTTATGGTGACTATGTAATTGTAAGATATATAAAGAATATTTGTTATCATGATCTCTCCACTCAACTACACATGTACATATCGTTAAATCTATACTTACAATAACTTGAAATTCCTTCATGTCCTGGGTTGTTTACGTTTCCGACAATCACAGCATAATCACGTCTCGAAGTAAGATTACCGATGGTATAATTACATTGCCCGACATTTGGGGCAATATTCATGCACATGACCACATCTGGTTGTAAATTCTGGGCTTCTCCATGTGCTAAAGTTACATTAACAGTTTTATCTGAATTTGAGGTGGTAGTCCATGATACTGGAAGTATGTCGCTAGTGTTATATACACTTGCTGCAGCTGGTGAATTAATTGTATAGTCCGCTGTGCTAAAAGTTATGAAAGTTGTTAAAAGAAACAAAGGATATACGAGGAAAGAACGCATTTTTTTTTAAAAAAGGAGTGAATATTGTAAAAAGTTCAAATAATAAAAAAGTAAAAATCGAGGGAAATATTGAAAAATTGAACATTTTACGTATTTAATATTATGTATTTATATTTTTTCTATCTATCTATCCACAAAGATGGTTCATATATATATTTATTCATTTGATTCGTATCATTCTTTGTGTGTGCATGTATGCAAATATGAGACAATGCATCTGTTCATTGGTTTTGATTAACAAAGTTTTCACATCGATATGCATAAAAATTAATTTAACACATGATAATGACTAATAGAAAAAAAGTATTTTTTTACTATAATGATTTCGTAAATATATATACATAAATTGCCGTTATTTTGTAATTAAGACTGTTTATCTTTTAGTTATACAATTCCTAGTTTTACCAATGGCTATTATTTTTAAATACATAAATATTAGAAGCTATTCGAAAAATTATAATATAATAAATAATTTAAATTGTTATGTATAAAAATTACGATAAATATTATGTACTATTTTGTATAATTAGTGATTGGAAACAGATATCGGATAGATATCCACTTTAAAAAATATCTATCGGACATCATCCGATTCAAACTTATTAAATCGGATTATATCCGAAATTTACAACCGGATTTTTTTTTTTTTATGAAGGCGCACTAATGATAATGAGAATTTAAAATTATAACTTGCAGTACAACAAAACGGGATTCCTTAAATAGAAGTTTTAATTCTATATAGTTTATCTGGATCCTATTAATTATAGGCACACGTTATCATATTAGTCTCGTGTCAGTATGCGTGCCACTACATATCAGCATATAGTGAGCTTTAATAATCATGTTACTAATTTAGTTTGATGCTCAATTATAAAAAAAAAGTCATAATTAATTCATTACACCGGATATGAATCCGGATATCAGATTTAATTATGTAAGTTATCCGGGTTTAAATTAATTCGTGATCCGCCAGGGAACCAGTGAAAAAACATAGTAAACTTTGGAGATGTGTTCACTATGTAAATTTTGCCTTTTTTAGAATCAGTTTTCCTAAGGATTAAATCTAACAAAAAATTTGTAGAGAGGTTTGCTTAGTAAAAAATCGATTTATCCTTTGGGAAACTCCAGATTCTAAAAAAGGTGAAAAACAATAGTAAATTTCTCCACAGTTTACTATTTTTTTTCACTTGTTCCCTTGCAGATCACGAATTAATTATAATCGGATATCCGGGATTTTCCTGAAACCGGATCCAACCACTATAATTAATTTTTCCAAATCTAAAATATTTATCATAATATATTAAATTAAGAAATATTTAAAAATATATTATATTAATACACTGTAAATGAACAATTAAGGTTTATTAGGATAACAATATTTTATATAATATTTATTTACTAACTTTATTTTTTATTTTTTTTTACAATTATAAATTTGGGTTGATACGTATCACTTCACCGACACTCATTTTGTAGACACAACACTTCACCGGCAATTGCTTCACCATGTTATTTTACAGACATATAAATCACCGACAATAATTTCACTGACATGTTTATTTACCGACATGTTTATTTCATCGACACTAAATTAACCGACAATTAATTCACCGACAAACTTACAGTAATTCACCGAAAAGTTCATTTTACCGGCAGTACATTTCACCGACAATTAATTCACCGAAAGTTCATTTTGCAGACTGTACGATTCACCGACAATTACAGCTGTTTTCATAAATTCTGGGACAACTGATAAAAATTGATCAGCCGAATTCGATAAGTTCGATAAGTTT